TGTGTGTGCGTGAGAGTGTGTGTGTGTGTGTGTGTGTGTGTGTGTGTGTGTAGTGGAGATTCACTGAGACAGTGGACAGACTTTGATAAGGATCGCTTGTGTTTGGTTTCTCTGTAGATAATGTGAGTGTAAGTCTGAGAGAACGTCTCTTTCCATTCACTCTCCAACTTCTGTTTCTTTCTACTTCATTTCCAGTCGGTCATTTCCCAAGTCTCCCCAAATACTTACTATCACATACTTTTTCCTGTAAGACACACTGGATTCTTCCTGTGTGTTTGACGGATCAGAAGGATCAGGATTTTATTTTTATTAGGCACATTTGTACACTTGAAAGTATATTTGTGTAAATCAAATTGGCTACTGCAATTTCTATAAAAGTGAATTTCATAGAAACAGGTCCCAATCATATTTCACCTTAAAATAAAAACATCATTATACAAACAGAAAATTAAGTCTTTTTTTTAGACAGCATTTTCATGATTATTAAGGATAATTAGAATAATTAATTTTCTGCTAAATTCCAATTATCATACTGGGAAAACAAATCATCTCGCATATGGATGTTTTACTTATCATTCTCATTATTCTCAGTGATGATTCTTAATAGATTCTCATTATTGTAATACAGAATTTGTACGGTACTGGTAAAAAATGTATAATGTGCTTAATTGTCATGAAAACATATCAGAAGTCAAAAAATCTAAACTTTGACTTCATTTTATTTAAGCAAAATATGCTAAATATAATAATGTGTCTCTGCAGCGGCGATTTGAATGATAATTTGCTCCTCAGTAATGACATTGAGAAGCTTTAATAGACATTGAACTAAATATAAATAGTTAAAAGAAGAGATTTGTTATTATTTAGACGCATTTTGCCTGATCAGTATAATAATATCTCTCCTCTGTGTCTGTTCTGTCTCTCAGGACACTGTTTCCGTCCACCGGCCGAACTTCTACGCTGACCGCTTCTTCCGGTTCATGAGCAGCACTGTGTTCAGGAAAAGCAGCTGTGAGTGACCAACAGAACTACTGTAGTGATGAGAAGGAGACACTTCCTCTAACCTGTCAGTCTGATTCTGTTCCTCTGCTCTCTCCAGCGCTGAAGGCTTCTCCAGCTAAGAAGGGCCGTGTGGCGCTGACTGTGTCCAAATTCAGCGGCCCCGGAGCGGCCTGCTCGGCCAGTCAGCTTACCTCAGAGAGAGACCAGAACATCTATGATCTGAGAGGAGCGCGCAGCTTCCCCGTGCTGGAAAACCATGGTGATTTGCTTACTTCTTTCTTTTTTATGTGCATGCTTTTGATCAGCATGGAAGCCTATGGAAGCCCATTTCCGCCACTGAATAAAAAATGAAAAAAGGTTATTGCAACTTTTTATGTCACAATTCGGACTTTTTTTCACAGAATTGTGAGATATAAACTCAAAATACTGTTGTTTTTTTTCTCGCAAATGCGAGTTTATATCTCGCATTTCTGACTTTTTTTCTCTCAATTCTGACTTTTTTCTCAGAATTGTGAGATATTACGATTGCGAGTTATAAAGTCCAATTTTGAGGGGGAAAAAGACTATGTTCTCAGAATTGCAAGTTTATATCTCACAATTCTGACTTAATAACTCGCAATTACGTGTTATAAAGTCAGAATTTCGAGATTTAAACGTGCAATTCTGAGAAAAAGTTGATAGCACACAATTCTGACTTTATTTCTCAGAATTGCGAGTTTATATCTCACAATTCTGAGAAAAAAGTCAGAATTGCAAGATCAACTTCTGTTTCTTTCTACTTCATTTCCAGTCGGTCATTTCCCAAGTCTCCCCAAATACTTACTATCACATACTTTTTCCTGTAAGACACACTGGATTCTTCCTGTGTGTTTGACGGATCAGAAGGATCAGGATTTTATTTTTATTAGGCACATTTGTACACTTGAAAGTATATTTGTGTAAATCAAATTGGCTACTGCAATTTCTATAAAAGTGAATTTCATAGAAACAGGTCCCAATCATATTTCACCTTAAAATAAAAACATCATTATACAAACAGAAAATTAAGTCTTTTTTTTAGACAGCATTTTCATGATTATTAAGGATAATTAGAATAATTAATTTTCTGCTAAATTCCAATTATCATACTGGGAAAACAAATCATCTCGCATATGGATGTTTTACTTATCATTCTCATTATTCTCAGTGATGATTCTTAATAGATTCTCATTATTGTAATACAGAATTTGTACGGTACTGGTAAAAAATGTATAATGTGCTTAATTGTCATGAAAACATATCAGAAGTCAAAAAATCTAAACTTTGACTTCATTTTATTTAAGCAAAATATGCTAAATATAATAATGTGTCTCTGCAGCGGCGATTTGAATGATAATTTGCTCCTCAGTAATGACATTGAGAAGCTTTAATAGACATTGAACTAAATATAAATAGTTAAAAGAAGAGATTTGTTATTATTTAGACGCATTTTGCCTGATCAGTATAATAATATCTCTCCTCTGTGTCTGTTCTGTCTCTCAGGACACTGTTTCCGTCCACCGGCCGAACTTCTACGCTGACCGCTTCTTCCGGTTCATGAGCAGCACTGTGTTCAGGAAAAGCAGCTGTGAGTGACCAACAGAACTACTGTAGTGATGAGAAGGAGACACTTCCTCTAACCTGTCAGTCTGATTCTGTTCCTCTGCTCTCTCCAGCGCTGAAGGCTTCTCCAGCTAAGAAGGGCCGTGTGGCGCTGACTGTGTCCAAATTCAGCGGCCCCGGAGCGGCCTGCTCGGCCAGTCAGCTTACCTCAGAGAGAGACCAGAACATCTATGATCTGAGAGGAGCGCGCAGCTTCCCCGTGCTGGAAAACCATGGTGATTTGCTTACTTTCTTCTTTCTTTTTTATGTGCATGCTTTTGATCAGCATGGAAGCCTATGGAAGCCCATTTCCGCCACTGAATAAAAAATGAAAAAAGGTTATTGCAACTTTTTATGTCACAATTCGGACTTTTTTTCACAGAATTGTGAGATATAAACTCAAAATACTGTTGTTTTTTTTCTCGCAAATGCGAGTTTATATCTCGCATTTCTGACTTTTTTTCTCTCAATTCTGACTTTTTTCTCAGAATTGTGAGATATTACGATTGCGAGTTATAAAGTCCAATTTTGAGGGGGAAAAAGACTATGTTCTCAGAATTGCAAGTTTATATCTCACAATTCTGACTTAATAACTCGCAATTACGTGTTATAAAGTCAGAATTTCGAGATTTAAACGTGCAATTCTGAGAAAAAGTTGATAGCACACAATTCTGACTTTATTTCTCAGAATTGCGAGTTTATATCTCACAATTCTGAGAAAAAAGTCAGAATTGCAAGATGTAAACTCGTAATTGCGAGAGAAGAAAGAGAATTGTGAGATAAAAAGTCGCAATTACCTTTTTAATTTTTTTATTCAGTGGCGGAAACAGACTTCCATAGAGTTTAAATCTCACAATTCTAACTTTTTTCTCTGAATTTAGAGTTTATATCTTTAAATAAATTCTGAGTGCAATGAAATTAACGCCAAGTAATTAATAAAATATATATATATATATATATAATGATGGTAACATAATGCCTCAAACGCAGATTCAGACTATTGCTGTTGTTTTTGTTGTTGTCTGATCATTTATAGCCATGAAAAGCTTTTGGCCATGTTTAGAACAGCATTAGAGTAGAATGAATCCCATAATGCAATGCACTTGAATGTGATTTCTTATTTGATCTGACTGCCTGAAGTTAAAAAAGAGTTGCTTTCAAATTTCAAAATAATCATATTTATTCTTCGACTTGATAACAGGACACGACTTTCTGAATTAAACATGCAACATAGTAAGTTAATTTGACAGCAATGTAGCATTCTGAAAAATCCTTTTCAAAGTTTTGGAAATTTTAATACATAATATCATATACAATAAAAAAAAATTACATTTTGCAATGTATTCTGCACGGTCAGCAGCCCAGCTAACAGAGAACATTCTCAGAACATCCTGCTAAAGGTTTCTCAAAGTTGTTCTTCCAGTAACATTAATAGAATGTTTATTCAATTTTGTCTGGTCTCTAAGAAAAGTTCATTGAACTTTTTTCCGGAAACCTTTTAGTTGGACCTTTTTTAAATGTTACTAGTAGTTTCGGAATGTTCATTTAAAAGTACATTTAACGTTGAAAAAGTAACATTCAAACATTTCAAAGTAACATTCCAATATAAGTGATCAAACGGAATGTTGACTTAAAGGGACAGTTCACCCAAAAACAAAAATTCTGTCATCATTTACTCATCCTCCGTCCTCTTTCTTCTGTTGAGCACAAAAGACCAAACAGTTTTTTGCTTATTTACTCTCTCAGGTCTGCAGTCTTGCACTCCTCCGTCGTTCGAGGAAGCGACCACGACGTCTGTGGCCACAACTCTGTCCTCAAACACCTCCATATCTATCCCAGAGCGCTCTCCGTCAGACACCACAGAGCAGCCGCGCTACAGGTCAGCATGAAGCACCTCATCGAAAGAGTCTTGAAACAACAGTATCACTTCACTTAAAGCCTTTATGTAGAATGCATTCATAATGTACATTATAATGCATCTTTATTATATCATATATTATATCAGTATTATATTACATTATTATTACCGTATTGACCCGAATATAAGACGATGTTTTTTTCTTGGAAATACATCTGAAAAAACACGGTCGTCTTATATTCGGGCCAATACGGTATACCATAATAATTGTAACCAAAGTTAAAACATATTGTAATATTTGCAGACACCTTGTTACATCTGAAATTGGTTGTTTGTTTGCATTAGACTTTCTCAAGGCGTAGAAATAAATAGATAATTATTATACTGTATTATAACTGTGGTTATAATTATTCATGAGATCATGCAATGCATTATGAGGTGCATTACAGAGCATAATTAATGCATTAAGATACTTTTATAATGCTCTGACCACATGCATATGAATATCTGTGAATATACTTGTGTTCTCCATTGTTTTCACAGAAGACACACATTGCCTCTGAAAGACGCTGAGGGAAGGTGAGCTTCATTTGCATGACTGTATTTATATTTACAAACATATTAAACTGTGGCTTTGCATGCTCACGTCAGCTAGATTATCGAATTTCTTCGTATTTTTGCCTTGTTTTCCAGTACAAGTATGTAAATATTCTTAAATCAAGAATTATTCAGTCTTGTTTTCTGAAAAATTAATTTCAGAGTTTATGCTGACAACAAGAAAAAAAATATCTGCCAATGGGCCTCTGAAAGACGCTGAGGGAAGGTGAGCTTCATTTGCATGACTGTATTTATATTTACAAACATATTAAACTGTGGCTTTGCATGCTCACGTCAGCTAGATTATCGAATTTCTTCGTATTTTTGCCTTGTTTTCCAGTACAAGTATGTAAATATTCAGATAATTAATTTCAGAGTTTATGCTGACAACAAGAAAAGAAATATCTGCCAATGGGATCTGAAAAATAACCTTGTTTTAAGCGTAAACTCACTTCATTTTGATACATTCGTTTTGAAACATGACTTCGTATCTTAAGTTGCTTTTCAAATAAATGTGTTTTGATTTAAGAATGTTTAGAGATATTTGTAGTGGAAAACAAGACTAAAATACAGAGTAAGAAAATCCTTTTTTGCAGTGCACAAAGCCGTGAGAGGAAACCCGTGTTTAATGAGTTTAGTGCGTTTTTCCAGTTGAATGTGCTTGTTTTGCAGGACGCATGAAGTGGTGCACGTGCATGAGGAAGAGCAGCAGACCATCACTGTGCAGGTGGAGGTGAAGAGAGAGAGAGAAGAGGAGGAGGAGGAGCCAGACGTCTCTCTGACGCAGTACGTGCTGCAAACATTACCTCGATTTTTCATTACCGTAAACATGCATATGAATCTCATACCAGCAGCACTCGGCCTCTGATATTTTCATCCTATTTTCAGTTATTTGATTGAGAGAAACAAGGTAATGGTTTTGATTCTGCATGAACTGAAAAGATATATATATATATATTTATCTTGAATGCACTGTAAGTCACTTTGTAAGTTGCTTTTGAATAAAAGCGTCTGCCAAATGCATAAATGCAAATGTGTGAGCCTGCACTAAATATTTGAGTTTTAGTCATTTTAGCATTTCTACTTTTAGTTAGCTGCCAAGGCAACATTTCTCATTTTCATTCGAGTTTTCTAACTATTAAATATTGAATACTGAAATATTTTCTAATATTTCTATTACATTTTATTTCAGGTAACAAAGACAATTTTAATAGTTTTAGTTAGCAATAAGAAGACAAGTGAATAAAATGGATAAAACATTAATGTGATGGAAATATATATAGTGAAAATGACTAGTTATGCTCAGAATATATAATATCATAATAGTATAATATTAAATATTATAGAACCTGCTCTTAGTGAGTGCAGTCTCTATAAAATAATTTAAAAATAATTTATTTTATAGAGACTAAAACGAAAATTAACCAACAAATTTTAAATAACAAATAAGTTTTTTTTTTTTTTTTTTTGAATAAACAGATTCTGAGTTTCTTTCCTGAGAGAATGGGTATTACTGTTGTACCAACGTTTTTCTCTAACCTTTTTTAATTTGACGGGAGCAATGGCTTCTAACCTCTACTTCATGTGCATTTATTGGTTCACAGAGCAGTTGAGACAAACCAGAATCTATCTTCAGTGGTCTGAACAATAGGTCTACCCGGACGATAAAAATTTTTATTCATTGAATTAATTAATCAATCACTAATAATCATTTTATATTCATCCCTGTTATTACATTTATTTTATATATTATTATTATTCTAAAAAAAAATTTTTTTCATTATTAGCTAATGATTATTTTATATTTCACCCCTATTATAAAAAGATTTTTTATGTATTTGCCCTCTTCTCTTTTTTTAAGCGCGGTGATGGATGTTCCTCCTCCAGACACTGATGACCTTGTCCCAGAAACAGCCGCTTCAGCACCCGTTACCCAGGAAACCGTCTCCCAGGCAACACTTCCTGGTGACACCCAGACAACAGTTCCCGTGGAAACAGCTCCTCTGACAGAAACCGGGACCCTCGAAACAGCGCCGGCCCCTGAAGCAGCTGAGCCGTTCGGTTCTAGCCCGAAAATGCAGCGTCCCGACGTGGACAGACTCTCAGAGTCCCAGAGCCGGGAGTCTCTGGAGGAAGAGGTCGCATCAACCACTGACATCTATTTTGTAAGTATGAGCGCGATCGTAGGATGTTAAACTGACACAGACAAACTCGTCTTCTGGATTTGCTCTTTCCAAAGTGCTGTTCAGCCATTATTCATGGATTATCAGCTGTGATGTGTTCAGGTACTGTTTTGGTGGCAGATGCATAATGCTGTCATATTAATTTATTACTGAATTTATGAAGTGTTACATACAGGGTTCCCACAATCACAAAAATAAATATGGAATTTAAAAATTGTGCTTGAAAAGTGAATAACAGTGTTATTTTGGTATTATTTCTACATTTTATTATTACTTTATTTAAAAAAAATATTTTATATTTATTATTATAATATATAAATATATAGTTTTAAATTTAGTCTTTTTTGTACTTCTTTCTTTTCGTTTAGGTTTTTCTATTTCTGTTACATTTTATTTCAGCTTTATTTCAGTTAATGAAAAGTTTTTAATAGTTCTAGTTTTAGCTAACAATAACAACACAGCTGAATAAAATGGATAAAATCTTAAAGCAATGGAAATATATATAGTAAAAATTACCAGTTATGCTCAGAATATATAATAATATATCGAATTAATATAATATTTTATATTATAGAACCTGCTCTTAATGAGTGCAGTCTCTATAAAATGAAAATTGGGCAACAAGTTAAAAAAGAAACTAAAGAAAATTTTAGGTTTTTAAATTTTTATTTTTTTATTTTTTATTTTTTTTAAACTTTTTAAAAACTTAAAACAAAATTAGGCAACATTTTTTATTTAGTTTAAGTTTTTAACTTATAATATATATATATATATTTTTAATTATTTTTTACTTATATTTTACTTATATATTTATTTCAGCTTCATTTCAGTTAACAAAAATTATTTTTTATAGTTAACAATAACAACAAATAAAATCTTAAAACCATGGAAATTTATATTGTGAAAGTTAGTAGTTATGCTCAGCAAATATGTAATATCATAATAATATAATATTTAATATTACAGAATCTGCTCTTAGTGAGTGCAGTCTCTATAAAATAATTATTAAAATTGTATAATTTTTTAAATATTATTATTTCATCCAATAATCACAACTGAATGTCTAGGAAGTGTCATGGAAATGCATTGCACAGAAGATGTGGAAACCCTGTATTTACTGTCCATACAGAATATTTTAAACACACTTATGCATGCAGCACTCACATATAAATAAGTAAACACATTTTCATTTCACTAGAACAACATGCCACAAATCACCTAATTTTGGTGACTTTGTGTGCTGTGGGGCTAAATATGAGTTACATGTTCCACAGAGCGCCGGTCTGGATGATCTAGTTGAGTTATGAAGGTAACACACGTGTGTGTGTGTGTGTGTGTGTGTGTGTGCATGTATATCTTTACATCTCTCTCTGAGTGTCACAGTCTCTCTCTCCTTCATCATCAAGGCTTTAAAGCTCTCAGGTGAAGCTCTTCTAAACTGATATTCCTGAAGTTATCACAGACTGTGTCTGAACCGCATGACCTGACACGCTTCCTGTGATGATCAGATTGTGTCTGACACAGAAAATAATATATTAATAATAATATAATATGTTAATATTATATATTTATATGTATATATGAGTGAGGTCTCTATAAAATGATTTATAACAATTTTTGTGTAATCTTTAATCACCTCTCTAACAGTTTACATATGTAGGTTATTATCCATTAAAGCCATGGTAATTTATAAAGTGAACGTTATTTGTAATGCCGAGCAAATTAAATATTATTATACAATATATTGTAATTATAGTATATATTTAATATGAAATATATCATGTTAAATTAATAATACAATATTTAATATTGCACCTTCTGTTAGTGAGTGCAGTCTCTGTAAAATAATTTATAAAATAATAATCACCACTCCTTTTTTTAGTTTCTCTCTTTGATTTTACATTGACATATTTCTTGTTTTCAGTGCTGGTCATATTTATTTTTTGTAATATTCTGTACACTTCTTTAAAGCTTTAAAGTCAGCATGAAATAGTACTTGCAACCAGTTTGACTTTAATGTGACGTATTTATGAGTGAAAAGGACATTCAGTAAGAAACAAGGGAGCAGAGCTGATTTCATCCATCAGAAATTGATTGTAAAGTGTCTCTATATGAGGGTGGTTTTAAAATAAGAGCTGAAAAGGAAAAGCAAATCGTTACATTATGAAAAAGATGTTGTTTCTCTTTACAATAATGTGCACTGATGAATGGTTCAAAATAAAAACAAGATTTAAAGGGATAGTTCACCCAAAAATGAAGATTTGCTGTTAATTTATTCTCCCTCAGGCCATCCAAGATGTAGACTTTTTTCTTCAGTAGAACAGTAAAGAAGATTTTTAGCTGAAACTGTAGTCCTTGCTGATTCATAAAATGCAAGGCAATGGCTACTGTCACTTTTAGAGTCAAAAACACATATACAGGCAATAATTAACAGCCGTGGCTCATGACGATATATTGAGGTCTTATGAAGCGAAACGATCAGTCTGTGCAAGAAATTGAACATCATTTACAACATTATTACCTGTAATCCACAGCCTCAGGCAAACAGGGAAATATGATTCTTTTCAGCGAACTGATTCTTTCGGACAGTTCGTTTCAATGAACTGGTTCAGTTTACTAGTTTGTTTACGTAATCAATCACCCAATAATGATGTGAAACGTGGATGTTTTTAGCATATAAAGTGAATAAACTAGTCTTCATCAGCTCACCTTAATACAGAAACCTTAATTCATTTGGCCCCTTCATTCAAACGTTGGGTTCACACTTGCTCATATCAGCGGCTCATCGGTCTTCGGTCCGAGTCGAACTGTTTCCTCAGTTCAGTGACTGCTGGAGGAACTGGAGCGCTGAATCAGTTCATTCATCACAGGATCAGATACGCCGCTATTTCGGCTCATTTCCAGTCGGAGTGACTGTCAGGCATCTGAAAGTGAATTCTGATTGAGTAGATCTGTGCTGCTCGAGCCGCGAATCAGACGATTTGCTGAACTGGTTCATCTAGTTCACTGGAAAGAACCGATTCAAAAGAATGATTCGTTCATGAACCGGACATCACTCTGGACCGTTTGCCTGAGGCTGTGGATTACAGGTAATAATGTTGTAAATGATGTTCAGTTTCTTGCACAGACTGATCGTTTCGCTTCATAAGAACTCAATATATCGTCAGGAGCGCCGGGTATTAATTTTGCCCTGCCTGTATATGTGTTTTTGACTCTAAAAGTGACAGTAGCCATTGCCTTGCATTTTATGAATCAGCAAGGACTACAGTTTGAGCTAAAAAGCTTCTTTACTGTTCTACTGAAGAAAAAAAGTCTACATCTTGGATGGCCTGAGGGAGAATAAATTAACAGCAAATCTTCATTTTTGGGTGAACTATCCCTTTAAGAAAGTACAAATAGATTGATTTCATGTCAGCTTAAATCAGTTTCATTCATCAGCATCATCATGATCTGTTTCCTGTCTCTCTTCCTTCCTGTCTGTCTCTTTTATTTACTCATCCTCATTTCCCTCCTGTGTGTGTGTGTGTGTGTGTGTGTGTGTGTGTGTGTCAGTACGCTGAAGGCAGATATTGGGTTTACTCTCCGGTGCTCCAGCGGAGGAAGCTCAGCTCCTGCAGTGTCGTAAGTGAACGGATCTGAACACCTGAGAGCAGGACGTCCCAACCTCCTCCTCCACATCAAATATAGTCATAATATCACATTATAAAGACTCTTTGAATTTAACTTGACATTGGCATTTCTATTACAATCTCACAAACCCTCGGTTGGGAAATCCTGCTGTAGACTGTAGTTTTTAGGGTTTTATTAGAGTCATGTTTCGTTGGTCTTAAAATCCAGTAGCTCACCTTCATGTGTAGTTTTTCACCCTGATGGACAAATTCATGATTCCTGGTAATGCTTTCCACATTGGGTTAGGAGTATGGAAAACTAGCTTCTTCTTACTCAAAATTACATATTAAAAGAGTACGTGCAACAGTGTGCAGTATGCAGTACGTTTCATATAGTATTAGGCTATGCTTTGGTCACATGACCAAAACACATTACCATGAAAGTGCTGCATCTTTAATCTTTTCATTTTAAATTTTGTGTAAAATCATCTTACATTTTTTGCAGCCCAATCAATGAATGAGTCAAAAAGGAGATGATATTAAATATCAAAATTATTATTACTTTAGGTTCATCCATCAAACTGGAAAAAGTATAATTGAGATCATGGTTATGATAGTTAACTAAAAACTAAAACCATAAAAAACAATTGTTGAAAAACTTGAAATAAAATAAATGTTAACTGAAATAGAATATTTAAAAACGTAATTTATTTTAACTACTTGCAAGGAAACATTTCTCATATTGATATAGTTTAACTTGATGTACTAAAATAACTAAAACTGTCATTTAAAAAATGAAAACTATATAGACATGAAAAAATGAATAAAAATGAACAAAGACACGAAACAAAATTACAAAAACTTTTACTAAATTACTGAAATAAAAATTTTAATTAAAACAGAAAAAATAAAAACTAATTCAAACTATTAAGAAAAATGATAATAGTATTTAAATGATACTAAAATAACACTGAGATACTATTATAGTTTTCATTCATTTGAATATGAATTAATTATTTTTTGATTTTCCATTTTAATTTTTAGTAATTTTGTTGATTTTTGTCATTTATGTTACGTTTTATTTTGTTAGTTTTTGTTCAAAATGAATTTAAAAGTATTGCAATTATTATTATTATTAATTTGTATGCAATTAATTATTAAATATTTAAAAAATATTTTAATAAAAAATATAATATTAATATTAACATATTAAAATAGGTTTATATAGTTTATTTTATTTTCCTTTGGTTGTCCTTTAGTTATTTTAATAAATCAAGTTAAATTAAATGAAAAGTTGCCTTGGCAACTAGCTGATATGAATTATGTTTATTTCAAATAATGATTTTTTTTTTATGGTTTTAGTTTTAATTAACAACAATAACATTGTTTCATAATGAGACACAGTGTTGGGAAATCCATAAATTCTATGCATACTGAACATTTGCACACTGTGTACTGCATACATGCTGCATACAGCCAAACAAGTATGCGTAGTATGATAGTGTGTGTTTGGAGGCACATTTCACTGTGATCTGTCATTTTATTCTTCCACTAAATGTTGAATGTTTCTAGTCACCTCATGCATTTGTTCTTTCTGTCTCTGTCTGTGTGTTTGCCTTTCAATCACGGCTCAGAGCCTCACAGTGAAAGCGACACAGTAAGTTTGGGCTTCCAAACCAAAGCACTTCCTCAAACGGATCCCTGGCCGTTCAGAATCCCCTCCAATTCAAGACACCCTTGCTTATAGTTTCATTGATCCTCATTGTCCGTTCATTCATTCATGCATCTATTCATCAAGTCAGTAAATTGAAAGGAATAGTTCCCCCAAAAATGAAAGCAGTCATTATTTACTCACTGACTTATATAATTATTCACATTATTCACTTGCTTAATTTTTTATTATAGTATTATTATACTTATTTAATTACGAAATGATTTAAAAAATACCGTATCACATTTTTAACCATAACTCATATTTTTAGGTAATAAGTTATATTAATATATATTTATATAATTATTACAAAATGTATAACATTTATAAAGATTATTATATTATGTTTAGCTGTAATGCCGTCCAATGAATTGCATAATTTAGATGATAACACCTAAATTATATATACCGTATAATGTTTAACATTTATAAAGCTTATTTATATTATTAATAATTATATTAGTTTATTGTATTTATATATTAAATTAATTATATTGTATTATATTTAAACAGATAATAGTGAATGTAATTATATATTTACATAATTATTTAATATTATTATAAAGTGCATAGCATTTATATAGTTTATTTATATTATTGATAATTTTATAAGTATATTATATATATTCAT